AATGTTCATATTCTTTAACCTATTTAGGAATCTATTCCAAAATGATAACCAGAAATGTAATATATCACAAGTTCAGTGAGCCAAAGTGCTCATCAGTGTAGTATTTTTGATAGCAAAAATTAAAAACATTTAAAGTTTTCAAAATTAAATCATGATTCAGCCATATAATGAAATATTTGCCATTTTATTACAGTGGAAAGGCTAATGAAATAAGGTGCATCAGTTAAAACAGAAAACCCAAGTTCTTCAACAATAATGACATTTATTATCTTAAGAATTTGGGAGGTAGAGAGAGTTTGTTAAGCTCTGGCAAAGATTGCTTGTTTCCATCCATTATTTATTCTCCCTTCTTTCTCAGAAAGAGAACTCTGATTTTTGATGGGTATCTGGCCTCTTAGAAACTTACCACTTTTCCCAGACTCTGTAAATACTAAATAGAGATCAATGTAATATAAACTGAAGTATCTTATATAACTTCCAAGAAGAGTCATTAAAGTGGGGGTGTGGGGAGTACATTTGCTTCTTGCACTTTTTCCTTTCTGTGATTGGAATTCAGAAGTGATAGCTGGAAATCAAACAGCCATCTTCAACTATAAAGAAGATGTCATGTCCTAAGTGGAAGTACAACAAAGAAGAAGTTAGGATCTTTAATACTAAGGAGCACCACATCTGTTCTGGAACATCTAGGTCTAGACTGCTTTTACGAGACAGAAATAAACTGCTATTAAGCCACTGAGTTTTTTCTGTCATACACATCTGAACCTAATCCTAAAATCTGGGCTCTACCTTTAGAGTTTCTGATTCAGTGGATCTAGGGGTAGAGCCTGATAATTTGCATTTCTAAATAGCTTCCAGGTGATGCTGATGTATCTAGTCTAGGGACCACACATGGAGAATCACTGCAATAATTTAAGTAATAACTCTGGTTCTCAACCTTTTCTTCGTATTAGAATCACTGGGGAGCAGGGCAGGGAAAGTCTTTAAAAATGCCCAATCTGCCTGGGACTTACTCCAGAGGAGATGTTAATTTAATTGATCTGGGCTGGGCCTGGGCCTGGGTGTAGATTAAAAATCTTCCAGGTGATTCTAATTATACCAGCATTCAACACTGTAACCCTTTCTCTACTTACTGTGAACAGCAGTAGTGAGACTGAAATATCTGTGTTCCCCCAGGTGGGGAATATTTAGAAAGTTGCACTTGATGGCCTAGGATGTGAACCTAAAAGAAAGGTTTAAGTCCCTGTTCTGGAACAGCCTTTTAACCTTGGTTGCTTTATTAGTGAAATAGTGATGAAAATATTTACATCACTCTGTTTTTTTAAAGACTGAATTAAACAGTATAGGTGAAAGCACCTTATAATCTCAAAGTTTTACATAAAAATAGCAAGGGATTAGGCCCAGCAGATCCAGATCATCTATGGAAAGAAAATCTGAGTTGGTTTAGCTCTTAACAGGATTGAAGAATTGAAAGTAGGAGGAAAACAAGCAAGAAGATAGGAAGAAATAATGTAGGAGTTACCTGCGACTCCCTGCCACAGAGGACTGAAATGTATGATAGGATCATCCATTTCTCCTTTTTTTAATTTTTAAAATTGTGATTATATTTTCAACACATGTTCTTAGCCTGAAATAACTCCTCTGGGAGAAATTCCTGGCCTAGAAGACCTTGTCTACATAAAAGTAAATCTTGAAGAAAGGATGTTCCTGCTATTAGGATCTTTACACTGCCATCGATAACTATTCTTGAAATCTCCTGTCACTGAAGTAGTTCCCAGGTGGCTGTGTTATATCCTGGTGTTTGGCTGTGGGTGTGCCAGATGTCAGGAACTGACTCTGATATTTTTAGTTTCAGGTTAAAGAGTGTCAAGCAAAGGGGGTTTTGATTGTGTCCCGGAGGGCCTCATGTACCAGACTGAGTTTAGACTTTATTCTGTATCCTGTAGAAGTCACTTGGTTTTAATCCAAGAAGTGGTGCTAAGAGTGTATCAGAGGGCCAGTGTGATGCATTGATTACTCTGGGGTGAGGCTGATATCAAGATGACCAGCATAGAAGTTACCGAAGCAATTCAGGTATTAGGACCTCAACTAGGGTAGTGACAATGGAAATTGAAAGGGAATAATAAATGCAAAAACTATGGTGGATGAAAATGAACACTTGGCCTTCACAATTGTCAGGATCTTCTAGTAAATACTGGTAGCCTTCAACAAGTAAAGATTGATGAGAGCTGTCTCCTACCTTGCTACTTGGTAATGTCTACGGTGAAAACAAGTCTCAGCTTTAATGCTACTATACAAATATTTATCAACAAGCAAGCATAAAAACAGTACACAAAGAATATTTTGTGACACAGTACTAAAAAGCAGTCTAGACTCGGGGAGCCGATCTGGAAGGTGTCAGCAGTGTTTTATACCACATTTATGCAAGGACAAAAGGGCCTATACAATATTCTAGCCAGCCACAAATCTTGAACACCTGTTATTTCCATAATGAAAAATTATTTCTAATCCTTTATGCTATTAGATACCTCTAGTGCAGATTTACTTATATTGGAAGCACTTGTATATTCAATTTTGTAGTAGAGATTACTGATTAGTGTCAAATGCTAATTACCCATCCCAGAATGTGCATATTAAAGTTAACTCAAATACATACACATCTCACTGAACAGTATTCTAAAGTATACTGATAACAGATGGGTACTAGACTTATGGGTTGATCACTTCGTAAGTTATATAAATGTGTAATCACTGTTGTACACCTGAAACTAATAAATATTGTATGTAAACTGTAATCAATTTTTTTTTAATTTTTAAAAAAGTAAACTGACAAGATAACAAGCATCAAAAATGGTTTCAAAGTCATAAGGTACAAAATCATGTTTGAGGAAGACGAAAAAGCACTCTTTTAATGAGGTATTAGTGCTGACGAAAAGAAAACACCTGTAGCTGATTTAAGCAAGAAAGAAATTTATTAGAGGATATTGGGTAGCTCAGAACATTGCTAGAAATTGAGGCTTAGACCTGCATGGCCAGAAAGTACAAACAATAATAACAAGACCATAGACATGATGGGAGAGGGCTCTGTGGTTCCCGTCATCATAAATAGGCATCTCAAATCACTGAATCCCTAATACTGGATGGCGATTCCACCACTAGAACCACTTTCAAGTCTATGCTAGGAGCCTACCTTGCTATGCTCCTGCAGTTAACCAAAAAGCAGTTTTCTGTGCCATTTTTTGTCAGTAGCTTCCAGCTGGTGCACATGATTGGCTAATCAAGTCCTTGGCATTCCAGTTTCAGCCAACAGATTCTAAGGAAAGGATTTCTCCAAACATAGAGGAGGGGTTCAGGTGGTAGAAATGGAAAAAAAAAAAAAAAAGTAAATGTCCATTAAAAGCAAGTTGAATTAGAAGTGATGACAATGTATTCAAGTAGAAACATCTAGCAGGTAGTTGGATATTGACACTGTGTTTCCCACAGATCCAGAATTATAGATTTGGGAATTGGGTAGTAATTGCATTTAGAGTTAGACAGAAGTCTGGAGAGAATCTAATTCAAACTTTTAATTTATATATGAGGGATCTGAGTCTGAAAGTACTTCATCACTATAAATGCACTGCCCATCCCAACCCTCAACATCTGTTAAATGAAAATGAAGAAATTCACACTCTACTGGGAGAGACAAGACAAATACACAGATAACACTAATAGAAAATAAGTAGGAGGAGAGAACTAGTGATTGCTGAAGGCCTACTTTTTAAAACAAATATTTAAGTACCAACGGTATAACAGGCACTATGCTCTACCGATTAATAGTGAACATTTACATGTCTCTGTAATTGAGAAAATGAAAGCAGGCTGGAGTGCAGAGTTGGGGGAGTGTGGTAGAAAGTCAAACTGGACATGAAAAGGGGCCAGACTACACAACAACTTGTCTGTACGTTTTTAAGGATTTTGAGCTTAATACTAAAAGGGATAAACCATCTCAAGGTTTTAAAGATTTTTTTTTTTTTACATATATCATCTAATTCCTATAACCCTGTAAGGTAGGTATTTATGAGCATCCATTCACATGGGAGGAAATTCGGGTTCAGAGAGATTAACTGACCTCCCTAAGAGCTACAAAAAGAAAATGATGGTAGGGATAGAAGGTAGGAAAGCAAGCAAGGCTTCTCAAAGAGGGAAGGAGAATTCATACTTTTTGAAGGTCCATCTTATGCCAGAAAAACAAACAAACAACTATATATATATATATATAGTTTCACTGAATGTTCACAACAATTTTGCGAAAAAGGTTCTGTTACCATATTTTAGATGGAGAACCCGAGGTCGCACGTAGGAAGGGGAGGAACCAGGACTCAAACTCCAAGACCATCCTGCTCCACTGCTGCTGTGAAATGCTGCCCCCGTATCATCTCCTTACATTTATTCAGCGTGCTCAGAATACAAATGCAAATGAGAATCATCTCTGGAGTTTACGAACCCTAACTAAGTATTCAAGGCCGGTGAACGTATAAGAGACGGGGAATTCGGGGGTAATGGAGCAGGTCGGGGGTGGGCGTTGTCGGTGGAGGAAAGACCCGGTCGGTGTATTAAAAGGAGTCTTAATTTTAAAAGGAGAGAAGGGTTTTGAAGGCAAGCATAAGGAGCCTGGGCTTTATTTAGCAGGTCAGTGGACACAAAGCCATATATTATACGAAAGACATTAAAGAGCAGCAAAGCCTCCTGCAGTATTTACAGTCCACGTGTTGCAGTCCCGCCCGTCCTGCCCGTTTCGGTCCAGCTCGAGGCGGCGACCTAGATGCTTGATAGACACTACCGGTCTGATCTTTCGTGGCCTTCCCGCTCCCTGTTCTCCGCCGCTGGTCTCAGGTCTCGAGAGGCGACGGACCTGCGCCCTAGGTGGGATATCGCGTTCGCACAGCTCGGGATACACCTGCCTTCTTCGCCTGCGCTGCGAGTTTGGTGGGAAGGGGGCCGAGCCTCTAGGAGGAAGCGCGCCGCGCGATTTGACCCCGGCGGCGTTCCGTACCGTCGCGGATTAAGCAGCAGGAACATGGTGGCGGTGGCTCGGCGGGTTATGGAGAAAGTTACCAAAAAGACTGGCCTGCGCTAGTGCGTACAGCCTTGGGCCCAAGACCCCATCCCTACCCTAGCGAGCCATCACCTCGTTCCGAGTCGTAGGCCCTCCTTTTACTGCGTTGCCGCCAGAGCCGATTCTGAAGATTAAGAAAGCGTTGGCGGCGGCCTAGTCAGGTAGGGGAGTTAGCGGGTAAACAGCAGGGCAGCGAGCCCTGGGCACAGACACCGCCCAGGGCTCCCCGTGGTCCGGTCCCCAAGCTCTGTCTAGCCGGCTTCCAGGGGCAGGGGTAGGATACTTACCGCGAGAGACATTGACGGTGGGGCTTGGAGGATAGAAAGGGGGCGGGGGAGGGGGTGCAGCTTTCCATATCCGTCATCATTTCCCCATTTAGCTGGGCGCCCGGTTGTGTTCTTATTCTCCCAAAGTGGAGTGGTGGTCAAGAACTGCCAGATTCCTTCTCGGACCTCCCACATCTTGTTAGGAGGCGGAATGCAAGAATTGCTGTTACTGTCCTATTGCTGAGGGGTTTAATAGTCGAGGCGCCATTCTCCTTTTATGAGATGGGCTGAGACAGTTATGAATTCATAGAATTGAAGCACTGGAATTCTCTGACCCTGGCTGCTCAGTTTGATTCTTTCAGCTTTTGACACTTCCCTAGAAAGGACGGAAATAGTTTCTGATTTGAAAGATGATGCAGATGATATAGTGTATTCTCTAGTGAGCCATTCCATAGAGGTAGGGCACGGAAGGGAACTTACTGATTTAGAGGACTTTGAATTAAGTGAGGGCTGGAGTAAGGCCGAGAGAGAAACAATCTGGAAATTTATGGTCTCTCCCTTAGCTCTCCTACTTATTAGCTGTGGGATATTAGGGAACTTGTTTATTCTCCTTGTGTATGAATAAATGTCCAGTAACTGGCATTGTTATTAAGTGTAAATATTTCTTATTAAGTGTATTTATTTCTTCAACAAATATTTGTTAATTACCTACTTCGTACCAGACTTTGCGCTAGACACTGGGCATATAGTATTGAAGACAAATTTTCAGAGACTTTGTGATCTAGTGGGGTATGCAAACAAGTGATCAATATTTTACTATTATAGAGGAAGTATAGGGATCATATAAATGGGGAGGGGTGATCACCTTAAGAAAACGGCTTAAGCTGAGACCTAAAGAATAGGAGTGAGCTTGGTGTGAGAACTCGGGTGGGGCCTGAAGGAGGAGTGGGAGCGCCCTTGGAGAGGGAATAGCATTGGTGCAGTTCAGAAATGAAAGGTTTACATGGCTGGAAGACAAAGTTCAAGAGGGCGTTCATAAGGGCGGGGAGTTATTCATGTCCAATGCAGAGGATCTTATAAGGCATTTTAAGTTTAAACGTGGTTGCTAAGGGTGATGGGAAGCCAGAGGAGGGTTTTACACAGTAGAGCGAAGTGACAAACTTTGGTTTTAAAAATGACGCTATTTGGAGAAAGGCAAGAGTGGATACAGGGAGATGGTCAAGCATGAGACAATGGTGACCAAAATTGGGATTGTGACTTTGGGGATGGAAAGAAGTATAAATATATAAGAGGTGTATAGGAAGAAGAGTCGACAGTACTTGGAGAGGATTAAATGTAGGGGGTGAAGAAGAGGAAGCTCAGAGTAGTATATGGGTTTTATGAAACAGACTCTGGCAGGCATTAGTTTTCCCATGTATAGATTGACTCTTTTGAGATCCATTTTTACCTGCCTCTCAAATAATTCCCCAGCGATAGCAGATCAATTGAAAAGGATCGTAATGCTCTCTGATTCAGGCTAATTATTTTGAAAAATGTCAGAATGGGAAAAGACTTTAGTAAATTAGCCATTTAAAAAAATATTCTACCATGTCCATTTGGCTCATAAGAGTGGCTGCATATATTACATGATATGGATGTGCTGTACTTTATTATTTACGTGTTTTCATTTTTTTCTATTAACAGTGAAGAACTGAGCTGGTGCTTTTATTTGTATCAAGTAGATTAATATATGTGTGTGTGGACTTAGAGAGAGATAATTGAAGACATGGAAAAAGATGAGATTGCTCATAGAAAATAGGTAGTAAGAGAAAAGCTTAGCTTGGGATTGAACATTAGAAGATTGGATTGAGAATGAACAGCATGCAAGGAGGCTAAGAAGGAGAGACCAGTAGTTAGGAAGAAAATCTGGAGACTGGTCTTTGGAATCTAAAGGAAGGGCAGGTTTCAGGAGGTGAGAGGAGTCAACAATATCAAAGGTTGTTCGAAGATGTGCAGCATAATGAGTGAAAAGTACCCATTGGATTTAGGAACTTAAAAGTCATTTCAGAATTTGGCAAAGCTGTTTATTGTGTGGTGGGAACCACAGTTTTAGTGATGTGAAAAGTAAAGCAATCAAATATTAGCTGTCAAAAATACAGAAAGTTGAACTTGGAAGAGGAGATGGGGTTGAGTGAGGATAGTTTTTGTTTGATTGTTTCTGTTTCTCTTTTTGTTTGTTTGTTTGTTTGTTTGTTTTGGTATTTTTGAAGAGAGCTTTGCCATTGTTTAAGTTCTAATGGATCAGAGAAGAGTGGGAGTTTGGAGAGAGGAAAGAGTATGAAGTTCTGGAAGAGGCAGAGGCGAAGGGATACTTACTATGGATGAAAGATTTAACCTCTGATAGGAAAGGGACATCCTTGTGTAGAGGTGGGTTTGTGGTGCTGGAAACCCAAATTCCCTTCTGATATTGGAGGCAAAGTCATCTGGTGAGAATGCAGTGGGAAGTGGGTGTCAGAGATTTGAAGATAGGGAAGAGAGGTTTGGATAGTCACAAAATGGAAGAGAGTATTGACCAGAGAAACACAGAAGGATGTCTGTGGTTAAGTGGCAGCCATTTAGCTTAGTGTGTGATTTTTTTTTCTCCAGCAGTGTTCAGTCATCTGAACCCCATCAACTCTTTGAGAATATATATTCCAACATATTTGTTGAATAATTATATAACACATAGGGGTGATGTTAAAAAAAATGCAGTTGCCATCTATATTTTATCAGTTTCTCATACTTAAATAAAAAGATAAAGCTAAAATATACTAATGGAAGACATTTGCTATAGAGGTGTGTGGTACTTTAAGTAAGAAATGATTGAATGAAAGTATAATTGAGGAAAATCAGTTACAATACTGAGCTAATTAAATAGATTTAGCTATTAAAGAATGTATTTGTTGAACATATCGAAATAGAATTAGTAGGGTTAGAAGTAGTATTAGTGGAACCTCCCATATACCCCAAGGTTGTCACCCAGTGGCATTCTTTAGCCAAATGGGTAATTAAGGATTAATTCCAGTTTATCTCATGTTTCTTTTGGGTCTTTCTTTTAGTGTCCTGCTATTAAGAAAGTATAAATAATCTGATCACAAGCTAGTTACTTTCTGAATTTTTATCTGGTTGAATTCTCCAAAGATATTCAATGTGACCAAGATCCTTTGTATTGATCATTTCTTCTGAAATTTTGAAGAATTATCTAGCAGATAGTTAAATCGTTTTTGGACCACTGTCATGTTTTAACTACAACTTGCAGAGGGTGGGGGCAATACTTAAGGTTGAAATAATCATCTGGGTTCTTTAACGAATAATCATCGTGGTAACTTTTTTAAAGTAAAATTATTACTAACTATTGGTTAGCATTCCAGCTTCTCAATTTTGACTATAAAGGTCAGGAATTGGTTTGCTACAGAGATAGTAGTTAGATTTGGAAAGTAGGTTTGATAATCAAAGTAATTTAGTAGAGATAAAAGTACAGGGAGAATTATGGATCAACTTTAGGGACTGAGTAACTTTAACACAGTTGAACTTTGCTTCTAGTAAATTTGTTAGTTAAACTATGTAAAGGCTAAGACTTTAGAGCATTTTAGAACTGCCTTGTAAAAAGATGTAGAGGATTTTAGGCAAGTAGTAATGATCGCTTTCGTGGACACTGGTGCTTTTCAGATTAGAGGTAATGATGAAGTTTCTCAGTTGTGTTTAAAACCTGAGAAGCTTTTCATTGTACCAAACCTGTCTGCTACAATCTAAGTTGACTATCTCATATTTGCATGTTGTTTAATTAGGCTAATTCCTTACCACCTCTGGAAAAAGTTTCATTGTTGGTAATTTAGTCACACAACCTTAGCATATGATGAGTAGAAAGCACATTCTTTTTGATTTAGATAAATTGAGTTTTTAAGCCAGAAACAGTTATCATTAAGACACATGCAAGTCAGGTTTTAAACTGGGTTTCTGAAGAAACTTTACTTCTCGCTTATTATTTTGTGTGAAGAAGCTACATGTGAAAGGTAAATTACATAAAATTAATGTTGAAATATTTTTTCTTCTTTTCAGATCACTTTAAAGAAAAATTCCACCAGAGAAAATGCTAAAATAGGAGTTACGGATACATGTGATTTGCTGGATGAAATACAAGCAGTTAATTTTTGTAACGCAGGGAGAAAGCCCAAATTGCCAGATTACATGTGTAAATCATTGCGTTACTGCTTTAGTCATTGTCTCTATTTAGCAATGACAAGACTGGAAGAAGTAAACAAAGAAGTGAACATGCATTCTTCAGTGCGTTATCTTGGCTACTTAGCTAGAATCAATTTACTGGTTGCTGTATGCTTAGGTCTTTATGTAAGATGGGAAAAAACAGCAAATTCCTTAATTTTGGTAATCTTCATTCTTGGTCTTTTTGTTCTTGGAATTGCCAGCATACTCTATTATTATTTTTCAATGGAAGCAGCAAGTTTAAGTCTCTCCAATCTTTGGTTTGGATTCTTGCTTGGACTCCTATGCTTTCTTGATAATTCATTCTTTAAAAATGATGTGAAAGAAGAATCAACCAAATATTTGCTTCTAACTTCCATAGTATTAAGGATATTATGCACTTTGGTGGAGAGAATTTCTGGTTATGTCCATCATCGACCCACTTTACTAACTACAGTTGAATTTCTGGAACTTGTTGGATTTGCCATTGCCAGCACAACTATGTTGGTGGAGAAGTCTCTGAGTATAATTTTACTTGTTGTAGCTTTGGCCATGCTGATTATTGACCTCAGAATGAAATCTTTCTTAGCCATTCCAAACTTAGTTATTTTTGTAGTCTTATTGTTTTTCTCCTCATTGGAGACACCCCAAAATCCAATTGCTTTTGCATGTTTTTTTATTTGTCTGATAACTGATCCTTTCCTTGATATTTATTTTAGTGGACTTTCAGTGACTGAGAGGTGGAAACCCTTTTTGTACCGTGGAAGAATTTGCAGAAGACTTTCTGTCATTTTTGCTGGAATGATTGAATTTACATTTTTTATTCTTTCAGCATTTAAACTTAGAGACACTCATCTCTGGTATTTTGTAATACCAGGCTTTTCCATTTTTGGAATTTTCTGGATGATTTGCCATATTATTTTTCTTTTAACTCTTTGGGGATTCCATACCAAATTAAATGACTGCCATAAAGTATATTTTACCCACAGAGTAGATAACAATAGCCTTGATAGAATCATGGCATCCAAAGGGATGCGCCATTTTTGCTTAATTTCAGAACAGTTAGTTTTTTTTAGTCTTCTTGCAACAGCGATTTTGGGAGCGGTTTCCTGGCAGGTAAGCGTATAGTTTTATTATGTTAGTGCCTGTGATGTATGATTAAATGTTTGTTTCAAGTTTAAATGATTGGAATTGAAAAGTCAAGTTCCTGATTTCAAAAGGAGATTATTTTTTGTTGCTTATTTAATTTTGTTTAAGGAATTGAAGTACTGAATGAATATTGATAGGATAATTTAGTTTGATCTTTAGCAAAGCAGTACTAAAATATTAGTAATACTCAACATGTGATGTACGTCCCACCTTCTGGTTGTTCATTAATGAAGCAATCATAGATTAAAGATTCTTACAGAATATTGACATTTGAAGAGTGCTTAGAAATTGTACTTTAATCCTTTCATTTTACACACGAGGAAACTGAAAGCCAGAGAAGACATCCCAGAGTCACTTGTAATAGCCAGAACCAGATCACCTAGCTTCTGTCTAGTCCACTTGTCTCACTACAGTACATTTTTTTTATATAGCCATTTCTCTAAACATTTTATATAAAAGATGCTTGGATACATAATAGCATATCAAGTACCTAATTACAGATAAGAGACTCTCCTAAGAAAGAAAAAATGAATAAGAAATGTCTCTGTTTTTGAGACAGTCTAATGGGAGGGGGACTAGGCAGGCATATAAACAAAGAATTATTACAGTGTTACAAATACTCTAACTTGAGTACATCAAATTGAGATGTAGGACCTAAAGGAATGTCAACTGAGCTTGGTGCAATTCTCTGCTTTGCACCAGTTAATTGCTGCAGAATGATTTCTAGATGTATTTGAAGGGTGATGTGGAGACTTGCCTAGGTGTGGTGCTAGAGCAGGGAGCCTGTGAGGGAGTCAACCAAATGATGAAAACATTGTGAGTGTTGCCTCACTTTACTTGCCAGTGCTAAGGACTGTCAGAATGATGATGATGGAGAAGGTGGGAAACTAACAAAAGTTCTTTCTCTTCTCCTCCTCAGCTCATTTCCCAGTCCTACTTTTTCCTTTACAAATTAGCCTCATTCATGCTTGACACCTTTCCGAATCAACAAATCCTATTAACCAATTATTTTCTAAGTCAACAAATTATTCTTGTTTTTTTATACCAGTGGTCTTCAAATATAGTATGGATACCACTGGAGGTACACAAAAGCTTTCCAAGGAGTATGTCAGCGTGTTTCTAATGATGTTGAGTATCTATAAATGTGTGTCTTAGTCATCCATTTATCTCAGTTATTGAAGATATCTATTCAAACCTTTTGCCCATTAAATTGGGTTATTTGTCATCTTATGATTGAATTTTAAGTGTTCTTTTTATGTTGTAGATACAAGCCTTTTATGAGATATATGATTTGGAAATGTTTTCTCCCAATCTTATCATTTTCTCTCAGCAATACCTTTTGAAAAGTATAAGTTTTTAATTTTATGAAGGCCAGTTTATCAAATTTTTTATATGAACTGTGTTTTTAGTATCATATCTAAGAAATCTTCACTCAACCCTAGGTCACAAAGATTTTTATCTTATAGTAGTTTTCTTCCAATAGTTTTATTGTTTTAGCTTTTACATTTAGGAGTATGATCTCTTTTGAGTTGATTTTTGTTTATGACATGAGGTAAGGGTCTATTTTTTTAAAATATGGCTTTCTAATTGTTCCAGCACCATTTGTTGAAAAGGTTATCCTCTCCCCTGTTGAATTGCCTTGGCGCCTTAGTCTAGAATCAGTTAAATATAAATGTCAGACTTAATTTCTGAGTTCTCTTTTTTCTTCCATTGATCCATGTCCTTATGCTAGTACTGTGCTGTCTCGAGATATCTAATTTCCCATGAAATTTCTTTTTTGACCTATAAATTGTTTAAAAGTTTATTGCGTGATATAATTGAGGGATTTCCCATATTTCTCTTTCTGTTACTGATTTATAATTTAATTCCATGTGATTAGAAAACATAGTTTAAATTATTTTAGTCTTTTGTTCAGACTTGTTTTGTGGCCCGGCCTGTGTTTTATTCTGGAGAATACATCATGTTCATTTGAAAAGAATGAGTATTCATTGTTGTTGGATAAAGTGTTCTATAAATATCAGCCAGGTCAAGTTGGTTGTTGGTGGTGTTCATGTATCTATATCCTTGCTGATTTTCTGTCTAATTCTGCCAATACTGAGAGGGTTGTTAAAAATCTCCATTATAATTGCTAAATTGTGTATTTCTTCTTTCAATCTTGTCATTTTCTTGCCTCATGTTTTCGATCTCCATTCATAAGTGTATATACATCTTTAATTATTATACCTTAATATAAGTGATCTTTTTTAATAATTGTGATAAACAGCATAGTTGAGTAGTTACAACAGACACATAATGGCCTACAAAGCCTAAAATACTACCTGACCCTTTTCAGAAAGAGTTTGCCAACTCCCATTCTAGGCCAGTGCTTCTCAAACTTTAATATACATAGGAATTGTATGGGGATCTTGTTAAAATTCTGGAGATTGGAATTAAGTGATTTTGGGGGAGAACCTGAAACTCTGCATTTCTAAAAATCTTAAAGGTGATGCAGAAACTCCTGATCAGAAGTATACCCATTGAATAGCAAAGTATTAATTTAACTGTTCAAGATTAACATGAATCTACTTGAGTTTTGTCTGCATTCCCCAGCTAGTCGCCATTTGGTAACTGCTTCCTATAGGTGTTGTATCTTTGAGGCAATTAAATTTTTTAAGTTTAATTTTATTTGTACAAGTTCCAACCCTTTGGACTGATGAAAATATCAGAAAATAATATAGCAAAAGGCAAAACCTTAGAAGCTTTTTTAGGCCAGGGCTATTTGGGGCATAATATCATCACTGTTAATCCAAGTAACTTCTAAGGGCTATCTCAAATTCTTTAAATTAGATTTTAACTTTTTTTTAAATTAAACTGTTTTTGCTTAATCATTCCAAAATGATATTGATACTGATTAGTTTCTTAGTATAATCTAAGCCCATTTTTTCACATTTCTGTGAGCGTAATACTCAAGTGCTAAACTGATTTTTTCCATTAAAGTATCCTTCAGTGGATTTCCACTGGAAAAACTTCTACTAATTGGTGGGGCAGACCCAATGTGGCAGAAAAAAAAATGACCTAAAAGAAGCCTTTTAAGTAGACCAGTTTAGTCAGTCATAGATAGATTCAGTGCAAGTTAGAGATAGATTGAAATCAAGAAACTAGGAGCAAAAGATAAGGACCTAGACTAAGGTGATAGGGAAATAATTTCTGTACTAAGAATAAGACTAAGAATTATCAAGGGGAAAACTGATAGATCTTGAGAAGTAAAATATAAAGAGAAATAAATTGATGAAATATAGAGTTGAAGAATGTTCTGACATGGTGGATAGTCTAAAAATGTTAAAAAAAAGATGTTAAGAGATTGAAGGGATCGGATGGGAATGTAGGATGGTGGGTTTTATTGAACTCATGACTTAGTGGGCATTTTTTTTTTTTTAAGTATATTTTAGGAAGTCAGATGTATTCATTTTACTACCAGAGAAGTAAAGCCAAACAAAAACATGAGATAATCTGTCTTATAGAGCACAATTGTATCTTAGAACTTAATTTCCCCAAATAGGCTTAGTCACTTTTTCTCATTTAAAATTTTTTTGCATGTCAGTAGTTTTGGGTTTTTTGTTTTACTTAATAACATGATTTTTTTAATTAAGGAAAAATTTGCCTACAGTAATGTTCACCCTTTTTAGTGTACAATTCTGCCATTTGACAAACCACTTAGCTGTGTGACCACCACTACTACAATCAAAATATAGAACAGTTTCATCGCTTCCCAAAATTGCCTCTTGCCCCTTTGTAGTTAGTCCCTCTTCTAAATTAGTATTTGGCAACCACTTATCTGTTTTCTATCCTCAGACACTTTTCTTTTCCAGAATGTCATATACATGAAATCATATAGTATATAGTTTTTTTAACTTAGCATAATTCATACGAGATTCATCTATATTGTTGTGTATATCAGTTTATTCTTTTGTATTGCTGAGCAGTATGGTTGTATAGATGTCTCACAGTTTGTTCAGTCATTACTCAATGGAAGGACATTGAAATTATTTAGTTTTTGATGGTCATAAATAATGCTGCTGTAAATATTCATAGATATTCATTTTACTTGTTGTGGGATTGCTGGGTCATATGGTAAACATATGAATTATATGTTTAACTTCATAGGAAACTGCCAAACTGTTTTCCAGCGTGGCTGTATCATTTTGCATTCTTTCCAGCAGTATATGGGAGTTCCAGTTGCTCCACATACTTACCAGTGTTTGGTACTGTCTGTCTGTTTTTTAACCCTTCCAATTGGTATGTAGTGGTAACTCATTGTGGTTTTATTTCTGTTACCCTAGTGACTAATGATTTTAAGTATCTTTTCATGTGCCAACTCACCACCCACATGTCTTCTTTGGTGAAGTACCTATTCAGATCGCTTGGCAGTTTTTAAAATTGGATTGTTTGTTTTCTTAATATTGAGTTCTTTATCATTTCTAGCTATAAGATCTTTTATCAGGTCTATAACTTGCAAATATTTTCTCCCAGAGTATGGCTTGTTTTTTCATTCTTGTTTTTTTTGAAAAGTGGAAATATTTAATTTTGCTATAGTCTAATTCATTGATTTTTTTATGAATCATCTCTTAATGTTGTATGTAAGAAATCCTTACCAGACATCATTTGAGTAAAATATTCAACCCACCCCACATGTATATCTTGTTTTTTATTAGTTTTACTGTGTTTAATAACATTTTTGGAACGAGTCAGTGGTATTTACATTAAAAAGCTGGGATTTTACCCCTAATTTTTGTTGTGTTTTGTTCACAATCTTATTCCAATTTTAAAATGCAACATTACAGCTTTTGTTTCCTGCAGTTTGAATTATGTTCATGAACTGTGCTATTTTTCCCTTTATACTTTTTCCTTAAATGAGTCATTGAGAAAGACACAATACTACAGCATTTTGTGGTACTTTTTTTGTTTTTGTTTTTTTTGTTATAGTTAAC